GGGGCTGCCGTCACCACCATGGCCGGTCTGGAGGCTGGCAGGTCAATGGGCAAATGGAAGGCTAATAAATCTGCTTGCAGAAGTCACGCTCCAAAGGCTGGAGACCTGAGGCACAGAGTTGCATGCTGGGTGGCGACCACTGCTGCCCACGCTCTTGGGAGGACACATGGGTGTCTGTTCCATGTTCCGCTAGCAAGGAAGACCACAGACCCTGTCTTGCCTGGGGGCTTGTCCTTGGCCTCCCGGCGGGCACAAAGACAGTAGTGTGTGTGTCCAGGGAGGAAGCCAGGAGCTGGTCTGAGAGAAGCCCATTGCAACTGCAGCAGCTGTTTGCACAATGCAGAGCACATCCTGGCTGCACTCACACGCTGCCTGGGCCATGGCTTGAAAGCAAGGAACCCTCATTTTGCACTCCTAGAAACTCCCCCCCTCCAAATTCTAGAATAAAAAGCAGCAAAATGGAACTGTCAGAACCAAGTCCTTCAACCCGGACACCTGCTTAATGAGACTTTCCTGTGGGATGAAGACTGAGGAGAGGCTTAGACCACCAGGTGTAATGCTAAAAAACCTAGCATGGGCTGTTCAAGCTATCCTGCTTTGCTCCCAGCCTGCAGGGATTCAGGGTTTCAATAGAGAGGCAAACACAGGTGGCTAGCGGACCCATCCAAGGGGCTAGACCAGAGGAAATTGCAGCCCCCCAAATGCACCCAGGTGCCGTTCCCAGCCAGTCCCCGCCTCCTACAGCAGGCAGGACACAGGGGGCTGCCAGGCTCTGCAAAGTGAATTTTCCTAAAGTGAGAGACAGGGTGAAAGATACGCAGCCAGGGTCGAGCATTGTACCTGCTGGGCACCTGCCAGACATAGGGCAGCCCAGGGAGGCACAGCACATACGCTGCCATTTGCCGTATCCACAGACCTGACTGCCACATGGCTCGGTGACCAGCATGGGCTGAGGCCACTTTGAACCAGAGAAGCAGTTGGGTACAATATAACTTGCATGACATGCAGGCAGTGTGGTGGTATGGGGGGGATCCTGCCGTATGTGACACAGGCGAAGCCCCAGGGTCAGTGGGATGTAAACAGGAATTACCAGCTGCAGGCTCCTGCTAAACAGCCCTGGCCCTGGCTCTTCCCTGCACGGCAAACAGGATGCTGAGAGATCCTGCTGCTGCTGAGGACAAGCCCCACAGTGGTGAGGGGAAGGGTGTCAGAGTAACCCCCTCGCAAATATGTGCCCGCCCCGGTCTCAGTGTCATTAGCTCAGCAGACAGCGTAGGGGCAAAGCTGCCTTTGTGCAGGGAAGCTTTTCTCCTCTCCAGAGCCACTTTTTGAAAGCTTAGCTGGAGCCGGGAGTCTGGATCAGACTCAGGATCACAGAGAAAGCTTTGGAGGCTGTTGTGTGCATGTGTTCCCCAGCTGTGGCCATTTCTGGCATCAAGCAAGGCCCAGCTATTGCACCAAATTCTGCTCAGTTGGTGTGATAATGGTGTAACCCAAAAGCCACTAGTCCTATCCACACTGATCCTACACTGAGCCAGTCACCTAAGAGACTACTTGTCCAATCTGGGGTCCTGTCACCACCAGTGGCTGGAAGCAGACACCTAGGAAGGCAGGGAACAGGCTGAACACAGCAATATTGCCCTGAATGCATCCCCAGCCTTCAATGACACAGGGTATCTGAGGCTGGAAGCAGCAACCCGACACTCAATCGCCCATCATGGATTTTTTTTTTCCCCCCCTTGGAATCAAATCCTGCCCTGGATCTTTTCCAGTTCCAGTTAGCTCAAGGTCTTCTGCTGCTCCTCCAATTTACAAAGGGGGGTTAAAAATAATAATAATAATAATTATAATAAAATGCAAGCCAACTCAAACAGGCCTGGGTAAAGTTTCCATCACATTCTTAAAGAGATGACTTTGCCAGGGTAGGAAAAACTAAGTCACAGCCTTGGAGAAGTAGGAAACACCAAGTAAGGTGCCTCTCCCCACCCAGCAGCTAGGGAAATGTGGGAAGGAAGGCAGTTTCAGCCAGACCATTTTATCTCTGAGACCAGATGGCTTTAAATGCTTCCCCAGAGCTTGGAAAGGGCCATGCTCTGCTTTGAATTGCTTTTCATACCATCTCATTAGAAAGTAAAAGGGAAGAAATGAACAATCTGTAACTCTGTGGCATTGGGAAACAGCTCTGTTAATCCCATTTCCTTCCCCGAGCTTACTCAGGGCAGGTCATCCAGCATCAGGGCCACATCACCTAATCTGCTTATTGTTGCCCTGCAATCAGGAGCCTGGGCACCAGCCCAAAGGGCAGATGCATCTTCCTGGTCATTATTAATAAATGGGAAAGGCCCAGGTTGTTAAAGCTGACCCCAGTGCCTAATTGCGACGCTCCCAGCACCCAGCTTCTACTTGTTGCTGCAGATCCAAGCAGTGGCCACCTCCCAAACCCAAGCCTGTGGGACCGAGGGCAAGAGGGGCAGAGCATCGCTGGGGGAGCAGTCGAGAGGAGAAGGAAGGTGCTGCAGGGAGAGTCACCCTAGGGCAGGCACTGCAAAGCCCAGGGTGGGGGTACATGTGGCACCCCTTGCATACCGCGCAGCAGGCCTCTAGGTTTCTTGGCCTGTCTGGGAAAAATGTGGGCAAATCCGACAAGATGCAGAATTTCTCCCTTTCCAGCAGGGCTGGTGCACGGCCCACCTGCACATCTGGGATGGGAGCAAAGCCCTCACCAGCCACTCAGGGCTTGCTCCCACCTGCTTACACCTACAGCCTGGCCTGGCTGGTCCACAGGTGACCACTGCTTTACCTGCCAGCATTGCCACCGAGCTGTGTTTTGCCAGCTTAGTTAAAAAACCTCCTGAGCTCGGGAGGAGCTAAATGGCACCGACAGGCACTCAGGCTCACTGTGGCACCCAGCTCACTGCCAGCCCTTTCCTTCTCCCTCTCTCTCCCCCCAGAGGACTACGTCTTCTCACAGCCAACCTCCACCTCACGTCCAAATGGAAAGGAAAATACAGCCTCCTGCGAGAGTCAGGACTAGAAGATTACAGGCTCTTTCAGCGCCTGCTCCCGTCAGGGGTGCGGGTCCCATGGCAGAAGGCATCCTCGGGCAACACATCAGGCAGGCAGCATTTGGTGTGTTGGTTGGACCCACAGCTCCAAGGGCAGTAATGGGTGGCCTGACACGGAGTCAATGGCTGGAGCAGAGTAAAAGTTAAAAAAGTGTCCTGGTTTCAGCTGGGGGGGGGCCACTGCTCAGGGACTGGCTGGGCATCGGTCGGCGGGTGGTGAGCAATTGCATTGTGCATCACTTGCTTTGTACATTCTTATTATTACTATTATTATTAGTAGTAGTATTTTATTTTATTTCAATTATTAAACAGTCTTTATCTCAACCCACGAGTTTTCTCACTCTTCCGATTCTCTCCTCCATCCCACCGAGGGGGGGAGTGAGTGAGCAGCTGCGTGGTGCTCAGTTGCCGACTGAAGTTAAACCACGACAAAAAGTTAACAGAAAGAGAAACAGCAACACCTAGCTTAGCTTCTCGGCTGAGGAGTGCCAAATTTTAGCAAACTACCAGCTGTGTATGACAAAGCCAGGTGCCCCCTCTCTGGAGCTACGCACAGCTGGCTGTCAGCATTGTTGCCCTGCAGACATGGTTGGCGACATGAGCCTCTGGCTGAGTCCAGCCCACCCTTGCCTTCCAGCTGGGCTGAGATCCAGTGATCAACAGCTCCGCAATCCATCCCCAAAATGATCTGGCACCCACAGAGCAGAAGGGCTTCGGGGGCACTCGGGCAATAGCTGTAGGATGGAGGAGTGGGGAAGGGAGCCGGGGAGCAGCTGGTCCAGCACAGACCCACCCAGCCCTCCAGGTGGCCCAGGCCACAAAACCAGCACTGCAAAGATGCTGTGGGGCACACATGCAGCCAGCCCTCCCGATCAGCTGGGGTTGCTCATCCCAAATTAATCCACAGAGGATGCTGCCCTCTTTTGGGCTCAGCGTGTCCGGCAGAAATTCAGGGAAATTTGGAGAGGCCCAAGACCAGTGGTTTTTGGGGCTCAAACCCCCACGTATGGGTTCTCAAGTGTGGTGACTTCCCGTACCTGTCTCAGTGGACATCCCAGGGACTTTTACTGCTGAGAGCCAGGCTGCTGCACCTGCGGGTGGCCTCTGAGCGCAGCCTGGGAAGGGAAGAGCAGGGCCAAGCTCAGGACAGGGAGATGCTTGCTGGGATGAAGAGCAAGAAGATGAAGGCCAGGGGGCTGGGAAGGTGTCCTGGGGAGGACCACGGGGTCCTTACCAACTGTGAGAACTGCTAGCATTTCATCTTAATTAACGATTTTCATAAATTAATTCAGTTAACAGTAAAATAAGTTCACAGTCAGTTTAATTAAGTGAGCCATAACAGGGTCCTGTGCTT